CCCAAACCCAAACCCAAACCCAAAAATTAATAATCTTTTTATTTTTTGATATTTTTTTGATAAGCTCCTCTCTCATTTTTTAATAATTTTATTCTGAATAATTATTAATATTAAAATCATGCTCTTGAAGATTTTTTAGAATATTTGAAATAATACTTGTGTAATTTTTTCCATTATTTAAGTTATTCTTTTTTTTTAAGTTCTCAATAATCATAAAGAATATTTCTTCATCAATGTCTGTCACATATTCTAAGATTTCTGATAGAGCCTCTTTCGATTCATAAAATAAGGGAGTTCTAAAATTTTATTTAAAACTCCTATTAATTAAACACTTAATTTCTTTTTATACCTAATTTGACTTTTCGATAAAATTTTTCATTATTTTTTCCCAACTATTTTAAATATCTTCGAGCATTAATCATATACTAATTTTTTTCAAAATTCCAATCCTTTAATGCTGTTCCTTCTACTATTTTGACTAATTTCTCTAAGTCTGTATATGAGGATTCTGCTGGGTTAAGGTTTTTGATATTAAGCTCAAGATAAGTATTATTTTCTTTTTAAATCCAATCATATCTTTAATTGATAGATTATGATAATTCTTCCCAAATTTATTTTAATATATTTTGAGTTTGAGAGAGAATCGATTTGAATTTAAATTTCTGTTCGGTTGATTAGGTGGTTTGTTAAAGCTGGAACTCTTTTAGTTTCATAACAGCTTTTTCTTAAAATATTTCTATTGGAACAGCCAATTTTACATCCACTTCATGATCAAAAAGGCATTTAGCACACAGCTTCCTTTTACATTTACATGTGTGCGGAGATATACATATGAATGAAATTTAGGTTTGATTATGATATTGGCAATTCATTATATCTTGTTAAAAATAATGAATTTCTATTATTTTTAAATTTGGTTAATAACACAAATAACAAGAAATTATCAAAAATAATAGAATATGAATTAAATTGCTTATTGAAAAAGCTCGTAAAAGTGCATTAAAAAAAATCTCTAAGATTTGGGAAGATATTTAATATTATAGGATTTCTATGTTGAATTGATTATTATTTTTATTGACTTCTTAATTACCATAGTTGATTGAGATAATTTATTATCCTTTAAAAATTCTACTTGAATAGAAGAAGGAATAAATTGTGCATAATAAATAAATATGAAAAGTCTGGTGCAACAACAGATTTCCTATGAATTTTAAGAAACATATTTTTTCTTATCTTGAAGGTTTAAATTTTCATGATACTAATTGTCCAACTATTTTTTTAATTGTATTTATTTGATAATCAAATCAAATTCAATTTATTTTAGTAAAAATACAATATGTAAGTATTTATAAAATAATTATTTATAGTGCTAAATTTTTATAAAGTAAAATAATTATTTTACTAAAAAAGTAAAGTTTATTAAAATAATCATATTCAGAATACTATAAGGACGATTAAATTTTCTTTCTTTTTTAAATAAGATTATCATCATATAAATTCTCATCTTCAAAATTCATTTTTCAAATAATTTAAAATATATCCATCAAATACACATAATTTACATCAAATAGAAAAAATATCATCAAAGCATTTTACGTTTAAAAAATATTCTGCACCTAAAGAATAGTTTAAATGCACTTCACTGTCCCTTAGAAAACTCTCTTAAACTATCAAACTATCAAAGGAGTCTATTCAAATTCATTATATTTATTCAGATCAATTTTAAGTCTTCTTCTTTAATACTTTTATTGAAATAAATAATAACTATAAATGCAAAGATATTAAATTAATAATTTATTTGTATAATTCATTCTAAAGATGTTTATCTAAAATTTTTGAATTATTATCTTAAATGACTTATTATATAGTTAAATTATTAATTTACGTTTTTTCAACATTGTAACGGATATTAATCACAAAACCAAAATTGGGATTTTATGTAGGGGCATAATTTTATTATGAAAGAAATTTACAATATAAACACTTCAGAAACAATAATTTATGTAATTCTATCAAATTAAAAAAAATAAATAGTTTTGCTCCCTTTTTCTACCCTGAAATTAATGACCTAATGTTATTTTCAATAACTCCTCTAAAGTTCTTAGCATAAATAAAATAATCAACATTTTACATTTTTTAAATTTATGAATAAATCTTTATCTATTATATTGGATCGGATAGTGGTTAAATAGGAATTTATAGATTGAACAATAAGAATATGAAGAATCAATAAATTACTCCTCTAACGAGTTCAGAAGTTAATTAAATAATTTTAATTAAGAAGTACTTATTTTTTGTTGCACATCCATTTGAAATTTCATATTTTGTTATGATAAGTAATAATTTTAATGGATATGTCACAATTTATTTATATAAATTTCATTTTAAATTGAGAAATTTAAAATAAAATGGAAAATCCAACTAATGAAAAATATTTTTATTATTATAATTGAAAATATCTTTCAAAGTATAAATTCCAGTGAAAATTAATTGATTGTAAATCATTAAAATTATCATTTATTATAATAATTATAAAGTTTAAATAAATGGTAACTGATGTCAAATTATAGATTATAAAGGATAGCTTTATGTTTAAATGATAATATTTAATTGATTTTTGATATAATGTAATTAATAATTATTCAAATCAATTTTAGAAGAAAAATTTTGACTAGATAATTTAAATTACCTCTGAATCACTTGTTATCGAATGAAGTAATTTTATTAATTTAAATACAGTCTTAATACATTAGATGTATATT